ACGAATCTGGGCTAAAATCGACTAAAAGGGCTCGCTAGTGCTCAGAATTTTTCTTCCTTCTCGCAAGCAGTAGCTGGGCCAATCGTCCCATCCTCTATTTATTCCCGCAATCACTGCCAAAGTACCCTATCTCTAAGGACAGAAGAGGAAAAAGTCCTCGTACTAAAAGGGACTACTATTACGGCTTGGTTGACTACAAGCTCAGAATTCTTCTTCTTCTTCATCTCTGCTAACACAGAAGCAGCAGAACCACCACCAATCGTCTTGGTGGATTTTCCTCCTTCCCTCCCTCCCTCCCTCCCTCCCTCTATCCATCCATCCGTCCCTCCCTCCCTCCTCCGTGAGGCAGCTGGGAGGGAGTGAGTGGTTTAGTCCGTGGGTTGAGGCAGTGCGCGAAGAGATCAGTGTGTGTCCCCCCCTCATACCCATAGTCACTCACTCACCGCTCCTGGTGATCGAGGCGGCCAGGGCACGCGCGTTGGTTGGTTGGATGGTTGGATGGTTGGTCCCTGGTGGTCGTGCGTGCTCGTGTGTCGGTGGTGCCTCGGTCGTTATTTTTTTTTCTTCCTCCTCTCTCTCTCTCCCGTTGGTGACTGGCGAGTAGCGGAGGGAGATGCGACAGACAGAGATAGTAACTGTAGTAATAGTCGTAGTAGTAGCCGTCGTAGTACCAATGGCTGGCGGAGGCAAAAAGTACTAACGCCCGGCCTGTTTGCGGTGGGTGGTCGCTATGGTGATGGTGATGCAGTCTTGTGTACTAATAGACCAACCAAACAACGGCTCGTCGTCTCACGTGACACCAACAGGCAGACGTGAGTATCTTGTCATATTATACGACTCACACACTCACACTGTGTTACTTTCATGTCTTTTAAAGTAAGTGCCCGTAATGGAGCCCGTACATCAGCCCCGTGAGTATCATTTAATGAGGGGGAAACATCCGCGGGTCAGCTGTTCAGATGTGCTAAGCTCAAAATTTTGACCCAAAAATATACATGTATATTGTAGTTTCCTTTATCTGTGATATCTGTTGCATGTGAGCAAGAAATATTTTGTCAAAATTTGAATTCTTCCTGTTGAAGAATGTGAGAAAGGAAAAAGTACATAACGCAGCTACGACAGTTCAAAAAACGAAACTGCTTTTCTCTCTCTCTCTCTCTCTCTCTCTCTCTCTCTCTCTCTCTCTCCTG